TATTATTATTATTATTATTATATTATTATCATCATCATTATTATTATTATCATTATTATTATTATTTGGTCTGGTTGTTATACACTAAGATAGCAAGCTTTACAATTTTAAGGAATGTATTATTTATAATATTAAAGGGAAATTTGAAAAATCTTGGTAAATAAGTTGAGGGGGGGATAGACTATGGATCATCTAGCCTTGTTACCTACTGTTACCTACAAGTCGCTTAGTACACTGGACAGTTGTGAAGCAGGACCAGTGTTGGGGGAGGGGCAGATTCGATCAGGAAAAAGGAAGAAGCAAAGAGAAGGAGATGGGTTTTAATTGATAATTTTTTATTTAATTCTACCTTAGGGAAAGAAATCATTGCCTACAGGACTGAAGATCTTGATATCCATGCAGCAAGTCTTGGTGCTGTGATTCCATTGCTGCAGCTTTTGTCGTCCAACTGTCAGCAGGCGAAGCAGCTTGCTACTAAATGTTTTGCACAACTTGATGTCTTCAGGCATCATAAAGACAAAGAGAAATACCAAGAGATGTTAAAGGTTGGTTATATTTTTACACTATGGGTTGGTCTTTGTGTTTTTTTTTCTATATATATATATTTTGTAAATATATTTTTTGAAGTATGCTTCAGAAAGCAATGAGGATGAAGTAGGAAGCAGGGAGAGAGGAAGGGAAAAGTAATGGGATGAAAGAGGAAATGGAGAGAGCATGGAAAGTAGGAAGGTAGAAGATGGAAGGATGGAAGAAAGGAAGAAAAGAAGGGAAGGGAAAAATATGAAGAGGGATGGATTGAAGAAAATAAAATAAGGGAGAGAAATGTATGAAAAAAGCTTATTTTAATCCATTAGAGATGTATAGAGTGAACTAAAAATGATGATCTCTGGTTGTCCTGTTTCCAGGAACTTTCCAAGGAACCTTCAAAACAATCCTCACCTGTAATATTACCAAGCAACTGGCTGGTCCAGATGGATGTATGTGCCAGCATCACCAGCAGAATATTAAGGTAATGGTTATGGGAATCAGGGGTCAGATGTAACAATTGTTTACTCACCTCTCCCCTCTTGAGTCTGGTGTTCAATTCCTGGACTCAGCAACACATGTGAGTAGAGTTTGTTTGGTCTCGTCCTTACTTCAAGCATTTTTGTCTAGGTTCATTTTTTTTTATTGGCAAAACCTTACAAGCTAAATTCCAATTCGATCTGAAAATTAGCCTTGCTTGATATTGTTTCAGGATTTTGATAAAATTGATCAAACTTAAATTGAAGTTTTTGGTTTTCATTACTTTATAACTTAACAATAAAGATAGGGAATTTTTTCAAATTCTTAAAATTTAAGTTACCTACAAAGACCTCGAGTCCACAAATTTTACTGGATCAGCTACAGTGACCACTTCTTGTACTGGATGCTTATAAAATATAGTAGTACGACTTAAAACTCTGGTTTAAAAAAATGTGCGCCTCTTTTGTATCTCATTGTTTAGAGACAGTCAGACTGCCATTACATGGCTTGCAGCCTTAAAGACTTCATTATCTTCATGTAAAGATGTTCCAAGCCACGTGTCTATGATACTGTCAGTCATTCTAGTGATGCCTGATCCACGTGTAACATGCGAGGTTTTGAAGGTGATGCCCTTGGTATTCTCAGCTATGCCATCACAGGTACGTACCGTATCTCTTATTAACCAAGTGCAAGGTTATTTTGGAATGCTAATTGATCAGTAATAGTGAATGAACTTACCTTGCCTAATGTAATAAAAACATTTATATAAATTATTATATGTCATTATTGCCATCATAATTGTTATCACCATTAAAGTACATCCATTCATCCCATCTCATCCCATCCTATCCCATCCATCCCATCCATCCATCC